CATCTCAAAATGGCTAAAACCTTGCCCAGTGACTCCGTTCAGAGAACTGCTGAGCTAGTAATGCTTGCAGAAGAAGAAGAGGCGAAATATCATGATCATCAGCAGGCTGCTCGCCAGAGATGCAGACCAATTGGTCAGGAAAAGTTGTCAGCTGCATAGAAGAGACAGTTATTCCAAATATGTTTTTGAAGTGCAGCAGAGTTGAACCAGCGAGCTGTAGTATTCAGTTTTTTAGTCAGAGGACTAGTAAAACGACTGGAGAAATTGACTGAATTTTTAGATGATATGGTGAAGATGAAAATAAATCTGAGGAGAAATGTTCTGTTCTCTTAAGTCGCATCCTTTTCACAACTGAACCACATCATTTACGCTTTTTACTATCTATTCGGGTGATAAAAAAAAAAAAAAATTTGTTAAAGAATAGTGAATGCTTCTCTGGGATTTCCAAGAACGTCTTTTAATTCATAATCGAGTTTCTCGCTTGTGCAGCTGACAACTTTTCTAGTTGCTTTAACTAATGTTGAACTGCCTGATAGTTAACCTGCTGCTGCTGTTGCTGGTGATACTGATGTTCATTTTGTTTCCTCAAATTTGGGCGATTTGATAGTTATCTCTGTTTTGATATAAGTGACTTCTGTTTTTAGTTTTATATATTTTTTATTTGCCTTTCTATTGCTTTTCACTATACTCACACTGGCAGCCTGGGGGGTCTTGGTATTCTTGACATAATTTTTGTAACAGGCTGTCTTTTATGAGGAGGGGACCGTGGAGTTCCAGGTGTGTTGCTTTCTGCCTACTCCAGTACTACATGCTATACGCGGTTCAGGAATGGCCACGAAGTGTTGCTGCGCGGCAGCACTCGTTGAGTAAATCGCTGAATCCGAAACCGCCGATGTCACTCATTTTGATCGACAGAACGTCTGATAAATTAGTCGGACACGCACGTTTGTGCCCTCTTCCAACTGAGAAGCAAGCGTGCTGGATTGAGTCGGTTATTATCAAAAGCGACCTGAGAGGACAAGGTTTAGGACGTTGGTTTATGGCTCAGCTGGAAGATAAAGCCGAAAAATATGGCTTCACAAAGGTAACAGTTTTTTGTTTCATCCATGTGAATCTTTTTGGGATATCACAGGCCTACGTAGCAGCCCTGATATAACGAGTCGTCGTCCGTTCGTTTTAATAGTAAATTGCCACTAGAGCAGCCTGCTTCGGCAGTTCTCAAAAAAGGAAGTCATCGACAGCCTTGCCAGCAGATGGAAGCTGCCGACATTTGCTGCCATTCGGGGCTACTCGAGTGTCTCCGCTTTTACGGAAGTGGTTTGATTTTAGTATGGATGAGTCAATCCCCAACGACTCGTTATTTTGTTTTATTGGTACTGGCTTGGCTAGTTCACGTTACTTCCCTGACATTTTTGGATCTTGGGATATCTGTGGTTTTGCTGCAGGATTATCAAGGCTCCATACGCTTTTTGTTGCCTCATCGTCCTACATCATGTAGAATGAAGGGGAGCAGATAAGGGAAACGTGTGGAACCTAGGCTTCAGTTTAAAGTTCTGCTGATTTTTTGGCGAAAATTGTCAAAATAAACAAGTTTTTATGCATTT